GGTGATGGCTCAAGTAATTATAGCCCTCTCATCCATATGGGAGTACTATCCTACATTACTGGCTGTTGGCTTCAGCCCAGCCATTCAAAGTGTGAACTTGCAGAGGAGAGCTCTCTGTCCCTGCATCTCAAATTTTAAAAATAGCAATAATTAATGTAATTTTGAATTTTTCGGCAGGCAAGCAAGAACTCATCATTCACAGAGACTGGGGAGTTGACAGTTTCAGATGCAAAATCAGATAACTCAACACAAAGAAGTTATAATCCTGCCAACCCATTATTCATTATTTTCATGAGAGTTGAAGTTGACCTGGGGACAAATTCTGATCCTTCAGATCAGAAGAATCCATTTAGTGAACTGGTTGTGTATCCTCAAAATACAAATAATGTCTACAAGTCCAAAGTCTGTCATGGTTCTGTTTGGTTCACAAAAGCTGTTTTGTTCTTTCTCTGTCTACCAAAATACCCTACCACTTCTGGCCATTTTTAGTCCCCCTCCCCGCTTTTTTAGTCCAGTTGGCTAACAGATTATTCAAATCTACTTAAACACATTCACATTTGATAATAGCAAAAACTTCAGGGGCAGTGTGACTTTCAGAGACATTTGGTTAAACCTGGATTTGAATACTGGCTCAGCACTTGGGCAAGTGCTTAATTGATGATTTCCTCAATTACAAAAGAAAACACAGAGTTTGAGAAATTAATTAAAAGATAAATTATTTTGGTGATAAATATTATGTATTTTATTGCATCATCACTAACTCTAAGCATCACCAACTCTAAGAAACAAAGCTTTAATATGTATATTTCACAGATGACTGCACTGAAACTTAAAGAGGTTAGGGAAATTGTTGAAGAACATGTACCTTTTTTTTTTTTTTGACAGGCAGAGTTAGACAGTGAGAGAGAGAGAAACAGAGAGAAAGGTCTTCCTTTTTCCGTTGGTTCACCCCCCAGATGGCTGCTACAGCCAGCGCACTGCACTGATCCCAAGCCAGGAGCCAGGTGCTTCCTCCTGGTCTCCCATGCGGGTGCAGGGCCCAAGCACTTGGGCCATCCTCCACTGCCCTCCCAGGCCACAGCAGAGAGCTGGACTGGAAGAGGAGTAACCAGGATAGAATCTGGCACCCCAACAGGGACTAGAACCCAGGGTGCCGGTGCCGCAGGCAGAGGATTAGCCAAGTGAGCCGCAGTGCCACCCCAGAACATGTACCTTCTAAGTAGCATTGCTAAATATGATATTTCTAATTTTATATTGCTAAGAGCTTCCTAAATAATACTATCTATTTATTGGTATTTGTGAGAATTACTTAAGACAAATTCATGTAATACTTGTGGTATATATAAGTAGAGGAATCAGTAGTATTAATTCCCATTGCTTTGTATCTGGATAGCACTTGCAATTTTCCTAAAACAGTTCAGATTTCTCAGCTAAACTTTTCATTTGACAGATGAACTAAGGAGAGGCAGGTGTGTGTTGCAGTAGGTATACATACGTTCCATATCTGACCAAATGCCTAGTCCAAGTCCTACATTGCTTCTGATCCAGCTTTCTGCTATTGTGGACCCTGAGAGACAACAGATCATGTCTTAAGTACTTAGATTCCTGACACTCACGTGGGAAACCCAAACTGTGTTCCTGGCTCCTGGACTGAACCTGATCCAGTCCTGGCTATTGCAGGCATTGGGGAGTGAATCAGTAAATAAAAGATCGATCTCTCTCTCTCTCTCTCTCTCTCTCTCTCCCTCCCTCCCTCCCTTCTTCCCTCCATCCCTTTCTCTACTTTTCAAATAAATAGAAACAAAGTGAGGAAATAAAGGGATTACATGATATCAGCAAATTCCCAGTGGAACTGGTCCTAGGTCCAGGCCTCCTCCCCTCTTTTTTTTAGTCCAGTTGGCTAATAGATTATTCAGATCTTCTTAGAGTAAATACCACTTTTACCACATTTCCACTTTTCCTCTCTAATCCTTCAAGCTGTCAAAATCCGGCAGGAAGAGCCTTTTGTTTTTAACATCCCTTAGGTCCTCCTTTCCTTTCTTGGCTCAGGAAACCATGTGCTTATTTTCATTCATCAGTGCCTTGATCTTACAGAACCTGAGAACACACTTAACAAATGATAATTCTGTGATCTCAGGGATCCTCTTGGCTGGGAGGCCACTCACAACAGGACTTGCACTCTCCTGGCAATGACCAGCCTTAATGGAATCTGGCCTGCAGAGCGTCTGGGCTGTGTGTGGAGCTGGTGTCAGAGCAGGTCCAAGCAAGTTCCCCAAAGTGCTGCCTGTACAACATCATGCAATTCAGAAACATTCCTTCAAACCACCACCCACCTTTCCCAGTGGGAATCCAGTGAAATGATTGTCTGGAAGCATCATGGAAGTAGAGGAGAGGATATTAAATTCGTACTCTCAGAGGAAATCGTGGAGGGGTAAGTGGGTGGAAATAGGATGGGGGATGGGGCTTGAAAAGCAAAGATGGAAAAAAATAAACCACCCTGCCACCAAAATATTCAGCTCAAGGATGAGGGAGTACACCCCACAGCTGTTAGCACTGTTCAGCATATTTTGCATATTTACATATACCAAGTATTTCCAAACAACCCTGTGTTTGTTTTAAAATCCCCCATGGAGATGTCTGGTAAAATGGTCACTGTAGAGTGATATTTTCTTGAAACATCATTTTGAAATATCAAAATATCCATTTGGAAAATTGTTTTCAAAATTCTGTGTATCCATTCCAAGTTGGGCAGCAGAGTCAGTGTCATTAACCACATTGTAGAGAAATCTGGAAGAGTCCATCTCTTCATCAGACAGCACTCAGAACCAAGTACCTATGTTTGAAGACAAAGAAAGTACTCCATTTGTCAAAGCCAATTCTTTAAATACAAAATGAAGTACAGAACAGGAAGCTGAAACACAGGACCAGCCCAGTGAGACTTACTTAGTCCTTTAGCTACCAAAATGTAATTTTCTTAATCGTTGTTGACTCTAATCTTTAATTTAGAAGTATCTTCCATGGGATTTATTGAGGTATCATTGACAAATAAATACTGTTTCTATCCAAGTTGTAAAGCATGATGATTTGATACATATGGTATGATGATTACCACAACAAAATTAATTAAAATATCCATTATCAGAGTTTTTATTGTTTTTGTAAGTACATTATAATATTGGACAGATTCTCATGTAGTCATTTTCTTTTGGAAAAAAGGGTACCACAAACCACATATATCTCATTTGAAAAAGATTAGCAAACTTTCAACCAAAGAAATGGGGTAGTTTAAAGCTATATTTTCCTTTTTGCAAGATCTGCAAGAAAAGGATAGAGTGTGATGCTTAAAGAGGAACAGATTTTGTATTTTTTGGCAAGATATTACATCCTCTGTTGCTGTATTTGGCTCTTGCAAATAGTCTCTTGTACAAGTGCAAAGCAAAGATCAATGCTGGTGTTCTTCATTCAGCCACAGCCAAACTTGGTATAGAAAATAAAACAGTTGTGTTTGAGTGTTTTTCCTAACAATGTCTTGCCCCTCACTTATTGATCAGTAGCCGTCCAAATTATGGATTCTTACTCTACCCATTACATCTTTCAGAACATGTTTGCTTTTTTGTAACAGTCTTTCCACTGCTTAACTAGAAGCAGATGCAGTGATACATCTAGAGAAAAGTGCTAAAGATTTACTATCTCCGTGTGGTCCTAAATAGTTGCTTAGTTAAATGCGTACAGGTAAGCAATGAGATGCCTGGAGAGTTAGGGCATCACTGAATGGCCATATGTTCCCAAAAAAGGAAGCAAGACAATCAAATGGTGATTGATTGTCCCCAGGGAAAAAAAAAAAAAAAAAAAAAAAAAAAAAAAAAAAAAAACTTCAGCTAGGAAGCATCTGCTCTAGATTATCTGCTCTCTACCCCAACGAAGTGTCTGTCTTACATAAATACTGCATAAGCCTTTGGATTCTGTGGCATCATAATGACATGAAATGCTTGCAATAACGACAGCAGTTTTCTTTGTATGCAATTATATAAGATAGAGAAGATGAACTTCCACTCATATGCCCTTGCAAGAATGTCTTGCTAGTTTCATTGAAATATTAGAACCTCCCTGATTACAACAAATCTGATAAGAAAATGATCACTGGTATCCAATACTAATTATGATATATAGAATAATGGCTCTGTAATGATGACCGCCTCCTAATCACCAGAAGCAATGATTATAAGGGACTTTGAAAATATAATTAAGATAAGGACCTTGAGATGTGGTCAGAATTCTGAATTACACAGTGGAAACAATGTAATCACAAGGGTGAGGCAAAAGAGACAGGTCAGAATGATGCCAGGTGAGAAGGACTTGATCAGCAGTTGCTAGCTCTGAAGAGGAAAGAGAAGACCATCGTATTCTGGCCTAGTCTAAATACGGTAGACTATTAAGAAGACTGTGCCAAATTATTTCACTTGTAATACTGGAGAGTGCCATTTCATACTGATTTCTGGACTTCTGACCTCTCACATTAAACATTTATTTAATAAGAAAAGAGGATTCACGTTAAAAAAAATTCTAGCTTCCTTCAAAATATAAGATCTTGAATGTCTCCTCTTCAGGAATTCTTCAATGTCAATGAATCACAGGAAGGTTTTTTTTTTTTCCACATTATTGCATTAAAATATAATGCAAAACAAAATATTTCTTTTAAGGATTAACTGAATAACTCAGAAGCATTCTGTAGCAAAACATTTTAAACACTCCTACTATTAAGTAATTCATAAACTCATTTCACCTGTTATCCATTATAAACATTTGTTCTACAATTAACTCCTCATTGTAACATACAATTTCTTGACTATAGAAATTAACCTCATAATTGGGACAACCTAAAATGTAATTTCCAAAGAATTTTATAAGTTGCTTAATTGACTATAAAGGAAATGAAAAGAGCTTTAGTTAATTCTCAAGAAATACAGACCAAAGCAAAATGCTACATTAAAATATAAACATTAAATTCACATTAAATTATTTATTGAACAAATTGAACATAATGACATCTGTTTTAATTACAAAATTTTCATCATCTTATATCACTGAGACATAGTCATAAAACCTGCAATTGAACAATGAAGAGAAATAAGAAAATGTCTCTTCTTCAACCTCACAATAAGCAAAAAATATGATTTTATAATTATCTTATATAGTCCAAAGTTTTATGAATGATATATTTTGTAAATTAGGATGACAGCATAACTAAGAATAGTTAATTTCTCTAACAAATCTGGAATTTCATTGTATATAAAAGCTGTATGGTAATATTATAATTAATAATTTTAAGTTTACCTAATCAAGTGACAAATACATAAACTTCACTATACTGTGTATTTTTCATCATGAAAGCATTTTACCTTAGATTTATGTGATAGAAACAAATTGAACCCACATTTTCCTTTTAAAATTATACAAAGAATTCACATGAAAACCTTTCCTTGTATTATATATCTTGAAAAATGTATGGAATAATATTTTTAATCAGATATAATATCCAAGATTTACATAGTCTAAGAAATTAAATCAAGTGTGTAAATAACCGTTATTAACTTTTGTTCTAGCCACAGTATAGAAAAAATGTACATCTCCATTAGCATAAAGAAACATCATAAGAAAAGTTCACATCTTATACCAAAAAAAAAAAAAAAGGATCTAAACAATCTCATATTCTAACATAATTGTTCTTGGTCAAATATAATTGTCCAGAAATTGTTAAAAAGGAAATTGATATCTTGCCATTTTGTAGAATGTGTGCTTGTTTGTTATATACTACAATTGGTAAATTACACTTAAATCTATTAGAATTTCTTAAAACTTAAATAGGAGATTCAGATAAATGTTGGATCAAACTAGCTACAACTTCAAGAGGATACTTGTTTGATCAATAACTTGAAACTACAGAATATTTTTCAAATGAGACACGGCAATGAACAATAAAAGGAATAAAAAATTAAGATATTTTAACAAGAATGACTATAGGTTAGACAAGAATATGGGGTGCAATTCCCAGAGAACATTAAAGTGTTCTTAAAAGCTACTGAAAAATTCGAAAGTCTTTTCTGTGATCAATCTCCATGACCAAGACATCAACGTTATTAACATTTTGAAACTGTTGAAACTGACGTTTCTTTGCCAGCTACACTCCTGCCCCAAATGCCAGAGGCACACACTTTTAAATAGTTTATGTATTCATCTTCTACATACATTGTTGAACTAAAATTCTAGCCTATATTTTCCAAAGCCATCTTAATCGTAGATTTAATGCTTTAGTAGTAGATTTAAAGAGCTCTTTGGCCTTTAAATGTTATAAAAAAAATCTGTAATTTCCCTCTCAAACAAGCCTTACTTTGTCTGAAAGATGTATATTTGATCCTGCAGAAGAGAAAAGAAAGAACTGAGAGATTAGGGTCCCGTACATTAACCTTGGCAGGCTGGTTTCACTCTTGGTCCTCCACAGTTTCTGCTGTCCTTCTGTCAGCTGCAAAGGTGATCAGTCACAGGAATTCTTAGGGCCGTCAATACCCCTTTGTAACGGCAATGGTTCGAGTGAACTCTTTCCATCTTCAATAACTGACACAGTGTCAACATCTGCTTCTAATAAAGTTGTTTCTTTTTTCTCAAGTAGAGTAAATTTGCTGACTGAGATCTTAAAGGCTTGTGTTTTTCCCCCTTTTTCATGTAGATTTTTTCCACCATATTTTGCACATTTCCTCCAAGACAAGTAAAGAAAAAAAATGGATAACTCAAAAGAAATGTCTTACTTCAGGTGCCAAGGAAACCCAAAAGATAACTGAACAATATAAACTCTGGTGAATTAATGACACTATCCCATTAATTTTGGAGACACAATACATGGGGGAATGAATAAAAAATTGAGATATGTGAGGAAAATCAGGGTGGGACATACACTAAGAACTTATTTTTCCTTTGTAAATGATAAAGTAAGAAGTCAAAGCTAGTTAAGAAATAAATATACATTATCTCCCACATCCAGTAAGGAGAAAATCTTCTCTTTGCAATAATTTCCTACAGAAAAGTAATCATATAGTGACTTGGTTGCTGAAGAAATGCATATTATAAGCAAAGAGAAGAGAAGTTGGAGGTCAGCTTAATGATCTGCTTACTCAATTGATAGACATTTATAGTAAACATCTATAGTGAGTCAAATGGTCAACAGTTTCAACAGCCTGCCTGTTTGATATCACTATCTCACTTTACTCATGACATAAACAAATGAAGACCCCAAAACCACACATCAAATTGTGGCTAAAGCAGAATTCAGAGAATGGCCTCAAATCAAAGCTCTTATCCATTAATTCATTCTGCTTCTCCACTCATTTCCCTGTCATAACTCTGGCATGTCTACTTTCCTTTGCCATCACTTAATGCCATAACCCTTACTAGCTTAATTCAGCAAATACTATTCAAAGGACTGTCAGTAAGGAATAGAACAGAATTTCCTATCAGTTTCCAATCATCACTTTAAATTGCAAACACAACATTAAACCAGGTAGTGAACTCAAAAGTTAGATACAGTCACATAAGGCCATCTTCAAAGCTTAACAGGAAATTAAATTGAAGATAAACTTATTTTGGTGCAAAATAGTTTTGAAATCTTTGCATAGCTTTTCATAACATGAACATTCTATGAGATTTTTGAGACCCCACATATGCATTTTCAAAATTTTTGCACCAAAATAAACTTACTTTTAATTATTTTCCATGAACTTCTTGGGGTACACTTATATTCTGTAGTCTTAAACAGGAGTGGACAAATGTTACTTGTATAATGAACAACAAGTTGTTTAGGGACATCTTTTATGCTAATGCCTAGAATTTTTTAACTTTTATAAAGTTAAAGAAAGTGACTCTGATTATTTAGAATCTATAGTTTGTCATTTTGAAAACTTTTGAGTAATATTAAACATTTTGTTTAATGGTATGAATAATCTTAAGAGAAAGAGATAAGTTAGAAGGAAAAGTTAAGAGAGGACAATCTTCTTAAGAAGACACATTGATTTCTCAAAAGCTCTTTTCAAATCAACACTGTGGAATCAAATAACCTATTAGGATCCTAACTTGTCAACATATGCTGCTCTTTAGTTCTTGAAGAAACAATTAAATTTAAAACTTAAGAAATTATATTCTAGTGTCTTGTTCACAGAAGACAATCTGATTTGTAAAATGGTCAAAGTCTGAGTGACTCTAAATGAAAATGGGGAGGTAGATGATAGCTCTCCATAAAGCAGTTGTGACAACTTTAATTCTAACACCATCATTTTGATATGAGAAAAATCAGACCCAGGGGTGATAATATTTTCAACTTAATTTCAGAATAATGTGCTAAATTACAACCCATTCTCCTTTATGACTTCTGATGACAATGGTAATATGGCCATAGCAAGCAGGTGCCAGGCAATTGTAAAGGTAAGCACTCATTCTATATTTAGAGGTTCCTTAACTGTATTGGGCAAACCACACCTGGGCCTGTTCTCAATGGAAGAGATCACCTGCATATCCTTCCTGAGTACAGCAGAATTCAGGTTCCCAACTTTTCTCAGGCTCTGATAGTCAAGAAATGTTTTATACAATAGTCATTCAGAGAGATACAGAACAAAGTCTAAATTCTGGTTAAAGCCATATAATTGTTCTCTATAATTCAATTCAATTTGATGGGGAATAAGGAAAGGAGCAAGGACTCAATATTTTCCTTCTCAATTGTGAAAATCCAATTGAAAGATCTGAAAGAGTTCGAGTAAAACACTGTTGTAAGAGAAATAGCAAAGGAAGTTAATAGGTTCCCAAGGCAAAAGAGGCAGATAAATAATCCTCAGTGAGTCATCCCATGGGAACATATGAATACTTGTCTTTGAAAACTCAGGAGAATACAAGACAACATGAGTTTTATAGGCTCATTCAACTCTGTGCTTAACACATTTGAGCAAATTACAACCGAAAAAACGATACCAGATCAAAACACAGAGCAAAATGCACATAATTTAATCTGATCACTTCTTAGAACTTTAAATTCCTTTCACTAGTGAGAAAAATATACCTTAAATTTGGATCTCATGTTGGTAAAAATGTGCATATTGTGTTAAACAGTTTAGGTAAAAAACAAGCAAAGTATGGAGCGATGAGAATCTGTTTAAATTTAAAATGCACAGGATGCACCAGGAAAACTAAGACACTTAATACATTAAATGTAACAAAGGAAATATGGGAAATATTTTAAAATTCTTTATGAGAACTCTGCCTACATAAACATATTGTGTTATTCGTGTCTAAAACATCCACACACACAAAATGTGTATAATTAAGGATGGAAATTGGCATTTCATTAAATATTCTTTTTCATGTGAGTGGTGAAAAGTGGGAGAAACTTGAGAAAATTTCTTCATCAAACTGTAATTTCTATATTACACTAACTTTTGTATATGACCTTCTCTGAAAGCAATTGAAAAAAGAAATGGACTTTGCCAGTAAAGTCCTTGAATTATTAATCAGTGCTACTTTCCAAGTCTTTACTGAAAAAGTCTTAATATAATTCTCACTTCATTTTTTAGAAACTGAAGGTCATATCAAGTTGAATTCCCAACTTATCAATTTTAGTGCAATATCAGTAATTGTGACATAAATTTAAATATCAATATAAATTTTACTTTGCCCTAATTTTTTTTCTTAAAACAAAAGCAAGTCAAGCAAAGACAGACTTAAACCACAAAAAAGAAGAGTTGCAAAATCCTGTGTTTAAAATTATTACAGATAGAATATATTAGTGTTCAGTTGATAAGGATGGGTGACATTAGCAGAAATAGCTAAAGCTTTTTGATGTGTCTAGTACATTCCCAGATACTACTTATTCAAAAGCTTCCCAGGGAGAAAAGATGGAATTAAAATAAGACTTTTTAAATTGCCATGAGTGAATAGGCAGAAACAAGAAAAATAAGACACTGGTACTCACAGGCGCCATTGGTAAATGCATCCCCACCCCCAACAAGTGGTTGTATATAAACTCTGGTTCCATTTATCAAGGTTGGATGGAGTAGAAAAAGAATTATGATGCTCTAAGTAAAGTCTCCTTCGGATTTGAAGGTTTACCAAACTTCTTTCCTAAACAGCTTTCCAGAACTCTTTGATAGAAACCATAGTAATGAAATAGCCAGTCTTTAATGTGGTCGTTTAGAAAAACTTCTTTTTAAAGCTATATATACAACTCTAGCATGGAATTGTTTTCACTGAGATTCATTATAAAACAATACTGCACTGGTTTGATGATAGTTTAGCTACTTTTGTAGGAAGGAGAAAATATCAAACACTTGAGGTAACCTAGAAAGCACAGACAGAGCATATCACAGCCTCTTAAAGGCAAGCATCTTAAACATTTGCCAGTGCTTCTCTGAGAGCAAGTTCTTTAAACAGAACTCAACAATTTTTACAATATTAAAAAAAAATATGTCCCTCAAAAATACCCCATCAAGGCTAAACCAAACTTTCTGTATATCTACAAAAATAGATGCACATAGAGCTACAAAATTGTGTTCCTGAAAGAATGACCATTTTCATTTGTGGTTCATCTTTTCCTGACAAGGTGATTGATTCATAAAGATAAAAAAAATCGAAATAAAACAAAAATTAATTGATGTATTGATGAAAGCAAGAAAACATAAAAAGAAAGAGTTACTCAGTTGGGAAAGGCTCAGATGAGGGGGAAACAAGAATGATTTTCCTCATTGTCTAGGACCCACTCTGCTCTCTGAAAAGTCTCAAAACCAAAGTCAACTGCCTGACACATCCTCTTCTCTTTTCACGTCTCTCTTGTCCTCTGCAGAATGAAGGATCCTGACAGCATCTTCTTCCAGTGGGCCCTTGAATTCATGCTGCAACGTGACTTACTAACACTGTTTTAGTACCACGGTGATTCCTTGCTCTTGTCTTGATGCTGCAGACCTAGAAAAAATGACAATGGTAAAAATGAAGGGTATTAATAAAACTAGCACTCAACAATAGGTATAATCTGAATTGTACTGGCTATAGAAACCAAATAGAGAATTAAGATACTAGGAAAGTATGACTTAGGGATAATCTGGTATCTCATCAACTTCCATGCCTATCAGTATTCATAACATTCCATTTATACAGCACAAATTCTTTTTTACAGTTCTTATTTCCTTGGAGTGTAACTCAATAATAAATATACTAAATGAAATATTTTGTTATTTCAAAAGAAACTTATATTAGAAGCAAGAAATGGACATAGCCAATCTTGTAGGTTTTACTTCAATTAATGCTTTTGGAAATCATAGAGATGATACTTTTGGACTAATATGATGAACATATTTTGTTGTTTTGAATTGTTATAAATTATGGTGAATAATTAAAAATGGTTAAAATAAATATAGTGTTATGTATTTTATTGATTCATAACTAATAGCATTGTATTAAATCTCCATTCTATTTATCAATATACATATTTGAATAACCTGTTCCTCCAGAAAGTAGTTTAAGTGACATATGCAAATTCATACTACATAGAAAGAAAGCAAAATTTAGACATAACTTTAAAAAAAAGGGAAGATAATTCAATATGTTAATTCCAACTCACAACTACAGTTGGGAAGAAGTTTATAAAAGAGAAGCCATAAAAAATAGACTCTGATCTAATACAGTTCATTGGCTAATTTCTGATATGGGCAATTAACATAGAACCTTCAATTTCTACCCAGTTGAAGTTAATTTCACTGTTTTTTCTTTTCATTTTTACTGGCAAATGAAATTTTATACCTTTAATATGTGGAATGAGATCCGTTGGTGTGTGTACATATTGTGAAATGATAAATACTACCATTTTAGTTAACACATCCATCACTTTTTTATACCCAAGGCATAATTGTTTGAAAGCGTGAAGTCTGAGACAGATAACTGCTCTTAAGTTGTTTCCAATCAGATACCAAAGCATTCAGTGAAGACCTCTAGTTTTCTGTTTTTGTTTTAGAATTTGCTTGAAAGGCAGAGTCAGAGAGAGGTGGGGGGTGGGGAGGGAATTTTCCATCTGCTGGCTCACTCTCCAAATGGCCACAAAGGCCAGAGCTGGCCCAGGTGAAAGCCAGGAGCTTCATCCAAGTCTCTCACATGGGTGGCAGGGACACAAACACTGGGGCTATCTTCCTCTGCTTTTGCAAGCATATTAGCAGGAGCCAGATCAGAAGTGGAGCATCCAGGACTCGAACTGGTACATGCCAGTGTTGCAGGCAGTGGCTTAACCTTCTTTACCACAATGCTGGGCCCCCTGAAGACTTTTTACAAATGAGTTGAAATGAGACATGACTGCTGTTGTATAGCTGCAAGGATCTCAGGCTCTCTTTTTGATCTAAAACTGCTATAAGTCTGAACTTAAAGCTCTGAATAAATGATTTTAAATTTTATTGTTACTAAAGCAACACTTCTTGTCCCTCAATTTGCAGAGAATTTTATAAAATAATGGATGTAATAACAAAAATAGAAAAAAGTATTTCTTGAATGGATACGTAATGACAACCCACAAAGCAGAATATTTAAGAGAGGAAGAAAAGAAACACAAGGAGATCACAAAACACACAATTTCATATAGCTTTTGTGTATTGCTCCCCTCTTTACATTTTTCTCAATTGTGCTGGTATTATACTTAATAAGTATTGATTCTATCAATATTTTTCCTTTCACATTTCAAAAGAAGAAACAATGGAAGAAGATGGGGGAAGGAGGAAGGGAGAAGAAATAAAAGGATCTGGGGTATATCAAGTCACTTTGAGTTTGCTTTACTCATTTTCAAATGATTTTGTGGTTAGAATAATTTGCAACCTGACAGTCTCTGCTCTGTGACTCTTATAATCCAAACCACCTTTACTGACAATCTGCTGACTACATAAATATTTTTTTCATTATTAAAATGTCTCATCTTTTCTATGACTCAGTATTTCCACACTTGAGGACTGCATCAATCTATAGAATGTCAGCACTGAAAGTCATGAATATTGTTATAGTCATCAAGTGGTTTGAGTGTCTTTTTTCTCCCTTTGAAATAAAGGCAATCCCTAGTTCACTCTGCAAAGACTTAGGACTCCTTCAGAGTCACATTAGTCTTTTTCTGTGAACAAGTATCACATTACTTAACATAGTCCCAAACTCTCCAGCCGGAGTAACGGGGGTCACCCTCTCTATAAATTTGCATCTTAGTTTAGTTCCATGTTCCTGCATTTCTGCATTGCAAACCTTAAATAAATCAATTCATCTATGGTCTGAAATGTATTAAATATCTAATGGATCCTTGTGCTATAGTTTCTTCTTGGTGATGTGACATAAATCAAATCTTTGCTTTATCAGAGCTTCATATCCATGCATTTCACAATAGGAATAAATGAAGCACAAAAAATGAGCAACCACAAATGAAAAATCCCATCAAGAAGCTGTAAGAGAAAAGCATGACTATACTTTATCTGGTTAAGACAATTGGTATGAGTGGATCAGAATACTTGAGTCAGCAAGTACATTCTGTTTTCCCCAGCCAGAGTTGAGGGAGGCAGAATTGTTCATTGGTGATCCTTATGTAGTCCACTTATGTTTGTAATTTCTCAAATTTTTCTTACTGCAACTGAATCCACTCTGTAACCAGTCTCGCTCCTTTTAGGTTTCATGGTTGTTGTTTTTGCCTTCTTACTTCCCCAACTTGAAGTCTAGCTCACAGCGTATCCTGAGACTTCCCTACTCACCATCTGAAATCACCCATGTTTACTTTCTTTATATTGGTATTTCAGTTTTGGTTTTATTGTTTAGTCTGTGAGATGTTCAGTAGAAAGGAACATAAACATCAAAACCAAAATGATGTTGTTAAGGCCTGAATATGCTAGGTATTGTGCTAAGTATTTTACACAAAATATCTTGTTGATCGTTCCCAATCATGCTACAATAATATCCCTTTTGCAAAGAAGAAAACAGAAGGAGAATTTATGCAACAGCTAAGTGATGGAGCTAGGATTTTAAAGTAAGCATGCTGCTCAGAGTCAGAAGTCTTTCCCACAACATATACTCTCACCTTACATAGGCTCTATAGACTACTGGCTGTGGCACTGGCTGGACTTTCCCAGTGCCCTCCATCAAAATCATATAAAACCAACTCAAAGAAGCATTAATAGACTCCGTTTTTATATCCCTTTATTTGCACTATTTAGAAACACCCTGAATTACACAGAACTGACATAAAGATTTAGAAAATAAACTATGATATTTTTAAAGAAACTATATTGCTGCAATGTTTAATGTAACATGTAATAAATGGCTACACAATGGTTTGGTATACTTCAGATAAAGAACACTTCTGTGGTGGAATGAGAAGGCCGTGCCAAGATGGCCACTGGCAAGTGAGTGGCAGTTACTCAAGAATGGCTTCAGAACCCACATGGCAAAGGAGCCTGCCTGGCAACAGGCAATGATTGGTTAGGGCATAAATCGCCCCTTGACCGGATTGTCTGCCTCAGCTATATAAGCTGCTGTACCAATTGAAATAAGTGAGTCTGCAAGCTGCTCGCCTCTAGCCTGCTTTCATCCTACTCCCTGTGTCTGTGTGGTGACTCCACGCTTCTTATCCCCACCATGCTTCTCCTCCCAGAACAAATCCACAGCAACACACTTCCAAAGAAAAATATGATGTAATAGAATATCAACTATATCTCTATAAATATATTTAGGGTAACCATAATACTCCCCTCTAGACTTCCCAGTATGACCATTTAAAATATACAGTGACAGGACTGGTGTTGTGGTGTAGTAGGCCTGTGGCTCTGGCCTGAAAGGAAATGAAAGCCCATTGACCCATTTTCTCTTTTCAGTTCCAACATCTCTGCCACCAGATGACCAAGAGAAAAGAGAAAAAAGAAATCCAGACCCAAGAACAGAGCAAAGGAATTATGGATATAGAAAAAGAAACTTGGTGGGATTGAGAGATGGGGAGGTGGGAGAACTTCGGTCTAGCTATTAAAACATAAGTTGGAATACCTGCATCCTGCATCCTGTATGTGATGCTGACATTTGAGACCTGGCTGCAGTTTTGAGTACACCATCCTACCAATGCACACTCTGAGAGGTAGCAGGTTATGGCTCAAGTACCACCTTCATTTGAGATACTTATCATTCATTTGAGGAACCCAGATTGAATTCTGGCTCCTGGCTTCTGCCTGGCCCAGCAGTAGCTGTTGTAGATACTTGGAGAGGGAGCCAGTAGATAGGAGCTTCTCTGTCCCTCTCTCAAACATACATACATACATACATACATACCTATTTTAAAAAGTGAGGCAAATATTCACCACAGTAGTTAAGACACTGCTTGGAAGGTCTACATCTTGTATTGGAGTGCCTGAGTTCAAGTCCCAGCTCTGCCTCAGATCAAGTTTATTGCTATTGTACACCCTGAGAGGCAGCAGGTAAAGGACCAAGTACTTGGGTGACTTCCACCAATTTGAGAAATTGTATTGAGTTCCAGTTCCTGACTTCATCCCAGGCTAACCCTGACATTTGGGGAATAAACCCTTACGTGGAAGTTGTGTCTGCCTATATGCCTTTACAATAAATAAAAATTTTAAGATGAAAAGAAACTCAAGACCCCATGAATATGTATAATTTTTGTCAATTAAAAAAGAAAAATTAGAGGCAAGAAAGAAGGATCAGCATACGATTTTCCTTTAACATTTGAAGAATTATATAATCAGCACATTCAGGATGCTACAGCATGAAAACAATTTGTGTGGCTAATAAATAATAATAATGCATTTATAATAGTTCTGTAGGCTGGAAAATCTATGATCTAGGTGCCAGCAGACTCCGAGTCTGATGAGGCCTGCCTTCTGGTTCATAGAGATACTATCTTCTTGTATGCTCCCATGGTAGAAGGGGCTAGGATTTTCTTAGGTCTCTTTTTT